ATATTTGGTATCCCCATCACCCCAATGGATCTAAAATGGAATTTAGTAAATCGCATATCCATTATGATAGTTTTAAAGGGTTTGCTTTTGCTTTCTAGATTGTATTAGGTTTTCTTGTTTTTAATGCAATTTGCATTTCTTCAAAAAAAAAAAATCAAGAGGCCAAGAGAGAGATTGGAGATTGCTCTTATCTCCTCGCTCCTCCTCGACCACCGCCCGACACCGGAGTTCTGCCAGACAATCATCTGATGTCAGAGTTCTGCCAAATCACCACCCGATGTCAAACTTCCATCGGACCACCGTCTGAAGCCGGAGTTTCGTCAGACCACCGCCTGACGCCGGAGTTTCGCCGAACCACCGCTTAACATCGGAGTTTTGCCAAACCACTACTGAACCGCCAACTAAGGCTCAAACTTTTGCTAGACCATTGACAGAACTTGGAGTTCAACTAGACCATCGAAAATCACCCAGACTTCCTCCAGACCACTGCCTTACAACTATGGTCTTTCTAATCCCTTATCTACTGTCGACTATGATCTTTCCGACCTCCGTTGCCTATTACGGTCCTTCCGACCTTCATCACCATATAATGGTCTTTCTGATCCCTATCTCCTGTCAACTACGATCCTTCCAACATCCATCGCTAGAGAATGGTCTTTTTGACCACTGTCTCCCACCGACTACAGTCCTTTCAACCTCTATCACCTATTACGGTCCTTCCAACCTTCATCGCTAGACAATGATCTTTCTACCCCTTATCTCCCGCTGACTATGGTCTTTACGACCTCCGTCGCCTACTACAGTCCTTCCATTTTCCATCACCATATAACAGTCTTTCTGACCCTTATCTCCTGTCGATTATGATCATTCTTATCTCTATTTCCTACTATATTCCTTCCGACATTCATTACCAGATAACGGTCTTTCTGACCCCTATATCTTGTCGTGACCTCTATTGCCTATTACGGTCCTTCCGACCTCCATCGCCAGACAACACTCTTCCTAACCCCCTGTCTCCTACCGGCTATGGTATTTCCGACCTTTGTCGCCTACTATAGTCCTTTCGACCTCCATCGCAAAACAATGGTCTTTCTAACCCATATCTCCTGCCAACTACAATGGAGGTTACCTACTACGGTCCTTCCGATCTCCATCGCCAGACAATGATATTTATGACCACTGTCTCCCACCGACTACGATCCTTCTAACCTCCCTCATCATACTACGATTTTTCTAACCACTATCTTCCGCCGACTACGATCCTTCTGTCTTCCTTGTTAGACAACAGTCCTTCCAACCACGGTCTTTCCGACATTCGTTGCCCGCCGACTACGGTTTTACCGACTAAATGAAAATTTAAATGCTAATTCTTCCAATTCCCACCATGTAACATGATGCACATTTGCTACATCAACCCAAGACCTTCTCCCCAAGGAAGGGCCTCATTTGTAATATACTGCAAATAATAGTGGATTCATTCAGACTGGGCCAAGTTCTGTGGTTTTCCCCCTTTTCAGGGGTTTCCATGTAAAAACGTTGGTGTCTCTTATGAACTCTACACCCTCACTTTTATCATCTTGTGTGATGGATCTTTGTACAAAGCTAAGACATTAAATTTTATATTTCTCTACTGTCGCGAATATTCCAAGATGCAACAAAGAGGATTATCATTTTTATGAAAGTAAGTTTGATAGTATTAACTTCAAATGAAAAAATAAAAGGGAATTTACATACATATCACTTTATACTATTCTATTTACATATATAACATAAAAAAAAATTTAATATTACATATATGCCACTTTATATTATTTGAATATCAAATATGTCACCTATATTTCATTCCCACCACTCATATATTTCATTCATATCACCCATATTTGATATGAAAGTGAACTATGGTAGTATGTATGTAATATTAAAATTTTAGGCAATAGATATATAAATAGAGTAATATATAGTGATATATATGTAACTACTCATTCATTTTAAGCATTATTACTAGTATTGGTATAGACTATTATAATATTTCTTAAGATCTTTTGATCATAGATCAAACACATCAATTACTTTACAAATGAATGGCTCTTGTTTTATGAAAATATAATTTTGCTTGTAAAATATAGAGAGTTTCAAATGAGTTTAAATTATGGCTTTATTTGAGACAACTTTCTTACTGCTTTTAAAAATAATTTTCTAGTTAAAAAATTTCAAGTTCAAAGTATACTAAAAAGTTATTTTATAAAGCAGTAAGAAAACTATCTCAAATAAAGCCTATAAGATAGTTTTTTTATGATATATTGTATGTATTTGACTGCTTTGATTGATAGAGAATATACTATGAAAATTAGACTTTCAATATGGTTTTAATATGTCACAAATCAGTCTTATATTTTTCACATATTTGATGAATAATTAAATTATCATACAAATTATTAAAATTTGATTTACTTGTGATTTTTTATGTAATAGATTGTAATCAATTGTGATTTATTGAATTTGAATATTATATAAAGTAGTTGATGCAAAAATAAAATTAAGATATATATGCTCATTTTTCTCCTTGATATGCTCAAAAAAATTCATGTGTTCAAGTACATATTGTTGCAAATTTTCAAATCTCAAAATACCCAAATATTTGAATAAGAAACTTTCTTAATCAATTTTAAGATCATATGAACATTGCCTTCAGCAAACTTATATTGGAAAAGAGCATATTAATAAAATGTACTCAAATATGGTAATAAAACTCTTAATTATGTAAAATTTAATATAAATCAAAGATGCATAAGTATAAATTTTTCAAGGCCAATTGGAGGATTAAACATCCTTCAAATATTGTATATATACTTCGATTGTGCTGACGTGATGTCTAAATATATAGACAATACGACGAGAATGTCTTCTTCGTAAATATTTAAAGAGAAAGGGAGCCCCATAGTGGTTTCATTTTAATGGATATAGTTCATGTACTTAGAGAATTTCAATGGCATGTTTATCGACAATTAGCACCAATTTTCAATCAAAACCAACTTTTGTGTCGTTAATACATAATGTAAGTCTCATTCATTTTGATATTGTCATATTTAAGTTTCATTCTCTTAAGCTTCCATATCTTAAGATTGGAATTCATAAATTTAAGAAAATAAACTCCTTATAAACATTGATCACCATCTCTAACTAAGCTATTCCTCCTTCATGATGTTGTTATATATTATTCCTTAGGGTAGTCTTCTCTCCTATTTGGAAAAGTATTATCGTTCTTTTAAATTGATCTGAAGGTTCATCTTTGTCATATAGGAGAGATTATTAGGTGCGGAGTGCGGACGGGGAGAACTTTTCGCACAAGCCTTACTCCGCGCTAGTTAACGGCACTCAGTACCGTTGGGTACCGCTAGGTACCCATGTTTGTGCGGACAGTGCACACTCCGCACCTAATAATTTTCCGTCATATAGGGTAACTCCTTGTTATTATATATTTTTTGCAACTTTATAAGTTTTAGATCTTTCATTGACTTTTATTCTCTATTTAAAATTTTTGTTTTAAAATTATGTTTTAAAAAGTAATAAAAAAATCGTCCAAATGAAATTTTACAATAAGATTCTATACTTTTTTATGAGTATATATTAGTCCACTTAAATAAAAGAGCAACCTTATTATAAATAGGGTGAATGTTAGATCCAAGCTTAATAAGATACCCTATAAACTTCTTAAGATTAAGACACCCAGCCTTTCTAACTTGCATGTTTTTGGCTGTAGATCCTTCATCCTAATCAATGGAAAACCACTCTTTGGATTGCATTCGAACCACACGAGCGGAATCCTTTCGGAGACCCACAATCCTAATCAATGGAAAACCACTCTTTGGAAAATTTGATTCCAAGTCTGATAAAGGTGTCTTCTTATGTCACTCATCTTTAGGTAAGGCCTATATAATCTTCAATAAAAGGACCTTGGAAGTAGAAGAGTCTACCCATATGGTATTTGATGAATCAGATAGGAACTCTAAATTTAAACCTAAAGAAGAAGAAGTGGGGGTAGAATCCATCATTATAATAGATATAATAGATCCTTATGAAATATTCCCTAGAGAATAGAATTTTTTTTTTGGGAAAATTAGGGGGCAAACATACCCAATTTTCATTAAAGAATAAAAATATTACAAAATCAAAAGGAAGTAAGAAAAACAAGAAAAACTTACAACCTAATGAAAAAAAAAACAAACAAACAAAAAGAATAAGAATTAACAACCCATCCCAAGAAATAAAGCTACAAAATAAAGTAGCTAAGAATAAAAATAAAAAATCAGCAGAAAAACTGCTAAATACAACAAACCACCATTCACAAAGAAGAGCCAAAAGATGGAGCACAACATCAACCTAGTCCAAAGACATAGGCTTCGTTTGGGACGTCTTTCTTTCTGCTTCCTAAAGCAACTTCCTAGTACAAAAATTAAAATTTTTATACTAGGAAACTGCTTTAGGAAGTAATAAAAAAGCCGTCCCAAATGAACCCATAATCCACAAATTAGTAGTTGCATCAACAGCAAACCTCTAACCAGCAACTGTAGCAACATCAACCTACAATAACATAAGTAACAACAACCGCAAATATAATCTGAAGCAATAAGAGAGTACAAGCCTTCCAACAAAGATTCAGCCAGCAAAATCCAATGACGGTAGACAAATCCACAGACAGCTACTACCAACAAGCATCAACAACAACAAGAACCACAATATGAATTCACAAGATTCACGAATCCTGCCAACAAAACAACCAACAATCAACAGAAAAAAAGTAGACGAGCAAACAAATACAAAAAATAAGCTATTAATGTCAATCCAGATTAAAAATCAGTTGAAAATAATAGACACAAACAATATCAAATAACAAAAAAAGAACAAACTAAAAAATATAAAAAACAAGCTAATAATGTCAGCAAGACAAACCACCATTCACAAAGAGCAAAAAAAAGTAAGCAAACATTATAACATCTCAGATCTCACTATAGCATTTAATGACGAACCGCTGCCGCGTAGTAATCGCATGCGTGCATTTTCGCACAGAAAACTCTGCCGGCAAGTCTACATGATGAACAAAGTTTGGGCGGTTTGGCCCGCGAAGCTGTGCTTCTGAAGCCTTTATTTATCCTTCTTTCCAGTCGCTTCACCCGAGAGCAAGGCAGGAATCTCGTTAGGATTAAGAGTGAAGGTGTTCTTTGGAAGAGCCATGCAAGCGCAGCCGCCTCAACCTCCACCACAGCCGCCTCCACCACAGGGGACTCTACCACAGCCGCACCAGCAGCAGCAGAATAGTCAGGGTCAACGAAATCCCCCGCCGTCGGATGCCGATGCTACGACGTTTCTGCTGTTGGGAATCATCTTTGTCGCTTTCGCGATAGTAAGATCTTCGATCTCAATTGATTCATCTTTTATAGGGTTTAATGTGTGACATGGCTGTTCTCTTTGCGAGGCAAGCGGGAATTCTTTTGTGTTGAGGGCCGTCCCGAAAACTCATATTTGATCCGAAAACCCGAGATTGACCCGTTTTGACCCAAAAATCGAATATTGACCCGATTTTAACCAGAAAATTAGCAATTTTATGTCAACTTTGGGTCATTCGTGTCGGGTCGGGTTGACTCGGACCCTAATTGGGTTCGGGTTCGGGTCCAGAAACCTGACCCGTTTTTAAAAACGGGTCAGATTCGGGTTAACCCGAATAATGCCGGATCAGTTTCGGATTCGACCCGAACCCAACCCACTGACCCGAATTGACACCCCTATTCACAGAGCAAAAAAGTAAGCAACCATTATAACAGCTCAGATCTCACTATAGCATTAATGACGAACCGCTGCAGCGTAGTAGTCGCATGCGTGCATTGTCGCACATAAAACTGCCGGCAAGTCTACATGATGAACAAAGTTTGGGCGGTTTGGCCCGCGAAGCTGTGCTTCTGAAGCCTTTATTTATCCTTCTTTCCAGTCGCTTCACCCGAGAGCAAGGCAGGAATCTCGTTAGGATTAAGAGTGAAGGTGTTCTTTGGAAGAGCCATGCAAGCGCAGCCGCCTCAACCTCCACCACAGCCGCCTCCACAGGGGACTCCACCACAGCCGCCCCAGCAGCAGCAGAATAGTCAGGGTCAACGAAATCCTCCGCCGTCGGATGCCGATGCTACGACGTTTCTGCTGTTGGGAATCATCTTTGTCGCTTTCGCGATAGTAAGATCTTCGATCTCAATTGATTCATCTTTTATAGGGTTTAATGTGTGACATGGCTGTTCTCTTTGCGAGGCAAGCGGGAATTCTTTTGTGTTGAGGGCCGTCTTGATTGGGCACTTCCCGATGTTTTGGTTTTAAAGAGGAGTGTAGACGAAGGATGTGCATTCTTGGATCTGCGCCATGCATTTTGTGTTGATTTTTGAAATTGGTTTTTTTTTCTCATTCATCAGTTGAACCGCTATTTTTTTTAATCCAATTTCCTTTAAGGACAAGAAAAAACAAATGAATTTAAAATCATCGAATCTAATTGAGCTACGTAATAAGTACTCGCCCAGTAAATCTAAACGGTCGGCTTGTGCATATTATTTTTGGTGAGAGGAGAATACATAACTCTTTTAAGAGTAAGTTATACAACATGTTGCTTGCAAAATTGGCTGTGTCTACTTAGAGAAGGAGGTGGATTACTTCAGATTCCACTAAGCTACCGAGTCTAACCTTAAATATTATAGAATAAATTAACTAGAAATGGGACAGTGGGGGAGGTGGGGAAGGAGAAGTTTTAAGTTGTTCAAAGTATATTGTTTGGAAGGAAGTGAATACATTGATTTGAATTCCTATTTATAAGCCACGGTTACGGGAAAAAAAAAGTTGGAATAGCTTGAAACTCATTATGAGATTGTGGCGTTTGACAACAAAATAGTTCATATTACCATTATAAAGCATGTCTTTCAATTATTTTATTGAGCTAGTCCTAACTTCAATTGAATGGCCTATGTTGAATCAAACTAAATCTATTCAGCTGGTTTATCTTGGCCTGGAACTCTTTTGGATGAGGTGAATTCTCCCAACAGGAGGAGGTTGTGAGTTAAGTTAGCCGATCTTTCCATTAGAAGAAGGTCGTATTAGGTAGCCATCACCATTGTGGTCATCAGAGGATGGTTGTGGGAAGTTTGGAGGCTAAATGAAGAGTAGGAGAGGCTTGTCGTTGGCCTTTTAATGGAAGATGACAACTAGTATGGTGGCTCCAACTTTGAGATAGAGCAGTAAAAATGTCATTGGGAAACAAACATGAATGTTGAGGAATGCTGTTAGGGTTAATCTTGCTTCTAGGAAATGCGATAAAGCCTAGTTACTTGAGGAAGATACTTGGTTTGTGTCATCATTGGTTGCATCAAATGACTTTAAGTGGGTGAACATGATAGTAAAAAACTACCCTCTATTTTAATGTGGCTACCATTGCACGAGTTAGAGCTTTGCAACAAACATCTCCTTTTTTAGGTTTTTTTATATATGACAAAGCTTTTGGTCATTGTGGTGGCCATTTACCAATGATGATAGGGTGAAAACCTCCACATAGATCTCAACAAGCTGCAATGATAGCGTCCAATGCATTGAATGAGATTAATAGGTGGATGGGAATACTATTTTGTAGTAAAGATTCATTATCTTCACGCTCTCCAATCTTGCAAATTAAGGCTCTACTAAAATTCTATAAATTTAATCGGCTGTGTGATTAATAATTTTTTTATGATCAATTTTCTCCTTCAATCTGTATGAAGAGTTTGGCCCTATGGCCTTCAAGCCGTACAAGGACTCCTATTGAATATGCTTCTTGATCACACTAATACAGAGTCCCATGAGGATGTAAGATGTGGTGGGTTTGACCCACATCTTTTCCAGGTCTTAGAAGAGCACTTGGTGAATTTCCTTTAACCCAAACAAGGAGGATCTTTAGGCGAAGAAAATTTGGCCCATACTAATTCTATTTATTAGCCATACTCCTTGAATTGGTTGGTGCAAGCTATTTAAGAGTTTCAAGAGGATTTAAGATGTGGATGCTTTGACCAGCATTTCTCTAAGTCTTAGGACTCATTGTAAAGAAGCTTCTACACAAGCTGATAAGAGTCCCAGGGGTATCCTAAATATTGACATTTGATCGCTTTTCTACTTTCAGGTCTTAGGCGACTCTCGTTGGAGGGGCTTCAGATTAAGCCATGAGTTATTTTAGGCAGATAAAATTTTCCCACACCTCACATAAGCCCAAGAATCAATTTTTGAATAGTGGCTTTAACAGTTACTAGGCATAAGTATTGAGTTTTGGATAAGGTTCGACCTAGATTGATTCTCTAAGAGAGTTAATTCAATATTATAGCTCTACTTATTCATCTCCTTAAAAAGAATAGGCAGAAGTGATGCTCTGGTTTCTTTCTCTAGGGCAAACGTCGTGAGTCTCATTGTTCTAACCAATTCTTTGCTCCATCTCCACAAATACACTATTGAAAAATATAGTTATATTTTAACACGTCTCTTCACAGAATTTGAGTGAAAATTTAAAGGCCAGGAAGGCAGAGATTTATCATTATAGGATTTTAAGGGAATATTGGCGGTTAACAGAAAAATATTACAAGAGAAAAAGAAAAGGTGATATTTTTGAGTCCTCACACAAATATATAAAAAGTTGGAGTATTAGTAAGTTTCCACAAAACTTTATTTTATCCATACTAATACCTAGATGAGCATGAATGCTGACATAAGGTTGTCAAATCTTATCTTTTCAAGTATTGTAATATCTTAAACTAGGCAGATTGAAAGAATTGCTGTTATTTTTCTAAAAAAGCCTTTTATAATCCTCTTGATTCTATATGGTCCTTTATATGCCTTCTTTATCAAGATCCAAGCCCATATGACCCCCATTCTTGTTGATTGCTGTGATGGGCATAGGATTTATTGTTGACAGACCAATAGAAATAGAGAGGGGAGATGCTACATAACATTGGGGTGATTTTTTTTCCATCATCCTTATCTATTTGATGTTGTAGACATGGATAGTAAGTGCACTTTGCAACAAGCAATAGCTATATCAACCGTACAATTATTTCAAATGATTGTTCTACTTCTCTCCTATAAGTGCAGGGCGACCATTGCCTGCTTTGTGGCCATCCTATACAACAACAACAACAACATCAAGCCTTTATCCTAGTATGTGGGGCCGGCTACATGAATCCTTTTTCTCCATTATATCATATTAAGAGTCAAATTCTCATTTAAATCTAATTAAAAAAAGTCATTTATAATATTTCCTAATCAAATCTTTTTTATGTCTACCTCTACCTTTTTTAACATAAGCTAAATCTAATACATCTACTCTCGTAATTGGATCATTGGAAGGCCAACGCTTTATATGACTAAACCATCTAAGGCGACTCTCTCTATTCTTATCTGCCTCTAGAGCTATTCCAATCTTTTCTCGTATATGCTCGTTTCACATTCTTTCTCTAAGAGTAAAGCTAGAAACTGACATTCAGTTCAATATAAACATATAATAAAATTCATTCCAATAATACATAAAAGAGCCATTAAATCACACATATACTTATTTTTTTTCTTTTTCAAGTCTTTTATAACATCAAACACTTAACATGCCAAATGCATCAATACCCAAAGTTCTTAAAACACGCATTCTATGCCTTACACACACAAGACACCAACTGAAAGAAAAACCTGTCACTCGGTCACTCTGACTCTGTCCAGTCCTACGACGGTAAGTAAACTGCCTCTCTACCATCAGTTCTAAGATAGTTCTCCTTGAAAAAGAATCCCACAATAAGGGATGATCTTACTCGCTCAACATATAATTCATATTTCTCATAAAAAATACTTAAAACAACAATAAAATATTTTTTTCATACAATTAAATAACCATCAAAAGGAAACTTTAAACGACAGTCAACATTGCGTAAATTCAAAACCTTTCTGTATAAGAAGCCTTTTCATAACTTTTCCTCAAACATAAATTTTCATTATGCATAGAAAATGAAATATAAACCTTAATATGCATAGTATTTACTATAACATCCGTCTCTAAGGTACCCATAGAGTTTGTACTGATCAGGTGCACATTTTCATTTATTTGACAATTCTTTTACCATTGGCTCTGAAGAACCCTTTTACCATTTGCCTCTGAAGAGCCCTTTTACCATTTGGGCACTCCGCATCAACATGCACAGTTTCATATCATAAACTTATAAAATATTTTTCAGTCAATTATATGCTTAATGAAAAACAATCATGATTCATAAATCATTAGTTCAAAATATGAAAATCACGAATAACATGTAAGTTTACTAACCTATTGAAATAAAGAGATTCTACTAACATGCCATTTGCATACTAAAATTCATA